GAGAGATGAAAAGGTAACGGCTGATGAGGAGGCATGGTGGCGTTGAAGAAAAGTGGCGGCGGAGGAGGAGGAAAAAGGTGAGGTTGTTGTTGTTGTTCTTGGTGGTGGTAGTGGTGGTGGCGGCGGCGATGAGAGTCGTAGTCGTCGTCGCCGCCACTTGAAGACTGCAAGCTTCCGCTACCAGAATCCATGTGTGTCTTGGGAAAATGCTTTAGTTGTGTTTGAGTTGGAACAAAAAAGAGGGTTTAGAAGTGAGGAAGATGGGTGGACGTGGACCCGCCATTTCAGAACAAAGGGGTTGCTTGGGGTGGCTAGCAACGGGTCAAACTCAAACTCAATATGAAAGAGAGAGATATAGAAGAAAGAGGGAGGAAATACCCCTTTTATTCTCATTACATACTTTATAACGACTAAACAAACTAGGTTCAACCGTGTAGTTTCTATAATTAAGCTATCGAAAAAAGAAATGTACATAGTTTCATATTCTCATTTTTATTACCCATTTTTCAATAAGTAATGTCGTATCAAACCCAAAAATTTTAAAACTAAATTAATAAACATGATAGGGTACAAAAAAAACTACGACACTCCCCACAAATGTATGATATTGTTCAATGTGAGGATAAACTCTCAGGGGTTCATTGAACCCCCGATGTGGGATTTTTTACCCAACCATCTTGAACAGATCTACGAGTCTATATTGAGCAAATCTATTATATTACGAGACATCGAATGGGTCGAGTGTGAAAGGGAGAAAAATGAAAAGAAAAGGAGGTTAGGGTGGGAAATAGAGGGATTTTAGAGATGGGCTACCAAGAAAAGCAACGAGAATTGGGTTAAAAAAGAAAAAAAGGGGATATGGCGCATTAATATGCGATGTAATTCAAAATGAAGCTCCCTTTGGTTTCCTGCGTTTACCAAAATTTCCATGAATAAAACATCATTTAATTGCCTCCACAAATCCCTCTTCCTCGTCCCTTTCCCAAACACTTCAATATTAACTCACTTTAATTAAAAAAAAAAAAAAAAAATCTTAATATTAATTTTGGATCTCATAGTTAATATTTTGTTTTAAAATTTTCAAAAAATAAATTTACTGTTATGTAAATATTTGATATTTAAATTTTAAGACGTTTTAGATAAACAAAATCTTTTTTAAATAATTAAATAAAAATGTGCACGACTCAACTCAACCCTACCATCTGACTCATCGTGTCAACCACACCACTCCTTTGAACATATACTTAGGTAGAAGAAATATAAATATAAATATAAATGTGAAAGCACTGACACGTCACAATTCAATTGCATAAAATAGTAAGTTATAAGTTATAACCCATTTTTAGCCGGAATTTCCCCATGAATTAAGGAAAAATTCAAATTTTATTTTTAATTGCATTCTATTAATTTGTTTATAAACAAAATGGAAAAAAAAAATAATAATAATCTTAGTCCAGTCAGCATTTGACTTAGTCAAAGGTCAGAAATAAGAACCCTTTATTTTGTTCATTCTTCCATTAATGGATGGAACAAAGGAGGGGAAGTAAGGGGTACCCTACAAAAACCCTAAACTCTCCTGGGTTTGGAGCCCTAGATATGCCCTAATTTGAGGGTATACAGAGGTGGGGGCATAAATGTCTTTATTTATTTATTATTTTTGCTTGTTAAACACAGACATGTGCATTTGAAGTTGCTGGGAGACAAAGGGGCTCCATTTGTCCACTTTGCAATTTCATTACTCTTTCAACCCTTTCTTCATTTCCCCTTTTTTCTTCTATTTTTTTTAGTTTCAAAAGCGGTTCTCATTAGATATGCACGCGCGGGTTTTCTTTAATTTGTGCACGGAAAGAATTCGAACGTTTGATCTCTTAGTTGATGATATATGTCACTCCTAATTAAGCGCACTCTTGTCAATTCACTGCAGGGGTTAACAATGTATTCGATTGAGTTATGAATAAAAAACGGGCCCACTAGAAGATTATCCATGTGTGTTTCGAGATGTGGTCTGGTTTGAGCATATCCTCTTTCGTATTCACATGTTGTAGATCCAAGGAAGATTGACTTCTCGGTAAACTTGCGAAGGCTTGTGAAGTTAACCTTGTTATTCATGTCAACCTTCTCACTTTTGATATCTCCAGGTGTTGTCACAAAAAAATCTTTCCCGATATCCAAATTAGCAGAGGAAAAGATTCCTTTCTTCCTTGCGGCCGGGTTGACTTGGAAACAAGCTACTTGTCGTCTATCTCACCTCCTGTAACGTATTCCATGAAACGAAATGTTGATACATTTTTCAATGTAATCATGGTTATGATCCAAATGGGTTTAAAAGAAAAAATAATAATAATGAAGGGGTATATTTGACTTTTTACCCTTGTAACATTGAGCATTCAAGTTACACAAATAACCAAAAATAAAGAAGGAATTAAAAAAGGTGGAGAAAATCCAAGCGAGTGAGTGGAAGAATATAATATTAATATTGGGCCTTTTCCATTGGATTATGTGTTGTTGTGGGCCTTGCATCCATCGTGTCCGTTTCTTAGGCCCATTTACCACTTGCCACAATGGCTTGGAGGCCCACTGGGCTGGGCCTTCATATTCTCTCTCCTCATCTTCCAATTATTGAAATTAAATAAATATTTAAATTCTCTTAATATATTGTCTAATTCAACACGAAAACACAATAAAACAAATAATTATAAGTAATTAACGAAAAATGTAAAAATTGGAAATTAATTGACATATATATATACATATATATATATATGTATGTATGTATATATATCACATAATAATTTGGTTTATCCCCAATATTATTAGCTAATTGGAAATTAATGAAAGAAAGTCAAAGGTAATTATAGCAAGAATGAAGTTAAGATCAAGAAATCACATGGGTAAGAGTCTTACCCCTATCCAAAATGGTTGACTTTTTTCGATGTCATTAATCATCACGGAAGCAAAACTGCATTGACAAAAGTTGTCTCAATGCACTTTTCTATATTAGACTAAACCTATTAGCAGTACTTGTGATCTTTGCAAACACCTACATCGGTATAATGCACTCTATAAACGTAGTTCCATAATGTAAGCAAAAAGTCAAATTTGTCCACACCCAAATGTGCGATATCAACAAATGTTTGGTAGGACCATACTAATGACATCAGATAGCATTGTTAACTGATCCAACTTCTGTCAACGAGATTAGCTCTACCTAAAACTCCTGAATGTATGAATTCATGTACATTGAAATAGGCGAGACTATCACTTGAATCTTGAATCCGATAGAACATTGGGCTTTTATAGAAATATAGTCTAATTATATTATTACATCCACAAATGGGTACTATTTTATTTTATCAAGTTTGAATTAAATACCACAATTTAGATAGGTTTTTATTCCATCTATCCATTTCAAAATTTAATGTTATATTAAGCTTCAAACAAAGAAATATGCACCCTAATTTTGCTGTTAAAAATCTCACGTAAATTTAATGTACCTTTATTATTGGAGGCTCAAGGAAAAACGCGTTTACTTATGTTTTTTTTCATATGAATCTCTTGTCTTTAGCTATTGGGGATCCCATTTATGTACCAACTCAAGATATGTTTATTGTGCTCTATGTATTAACGAGCGGGAATCGCTGAGGTATTTGTGCAAATCGGTATAATCCATGTAATCGCAAAAATAATAAAAATGAAAAAAATTTCAATAATAACTATAAATATATGAAAGAACCCTTTTTTTGTAATTCCTATGATGCAATTGGAGCTTATCGCCAGAAAAGAATCAATTTAGATAGTCCTTTGTGGCTCCGTTGGCGACTAGATCAACGCATTATTGCTTCAAGAGAAGCTCCTATCGAAGTTCACTATGAATTTTTGGGTACCCATCATGAGATTTACAGGTACTATCTAATAGTCAAAAGTATAAAAAAAGAAATTCTTTGTATATACATTCGAACCACTGTTGGGTTATATTATGAACTCTATTCAAAGTGTTTGAATCCAAAATCTAAAATTTTAAATAAGTTCAAAAGATTATTCGTCTAAGCGAGATGTTCGGTTATCTTTTTTTTAACATTATTGCACTAAATCACCATTACATTGTTGGAAGGTTGAGGGAAACGGCAAAACATAAGATTTTGATATTTTGAGGTAAGAAGAGTGAGGGAGTGCCGACAGCCGACAGCCGACGTAGACGACACCGACAGCTTTTTTGGGAGACACAAAATCCACACTTTGTTACAATGTTTGTTTTTGGTGTATCATCATCATCTCTTCTCTTCTTCCCAAACAATTCAAATCAAAATCCAACCCAAAATTAATGGATCCCTTTAAATCTTATTGGGTCCCTTTTCATCCTAATTATCGAACTCGTCTAATTAAAAAATTAAATCATTTTCGAAATTCTTACTCTAAATTAGTTTTTTTTTAGAAGCTCGTTCCCACTGAGTTCACAGCCCGACATGCCTTCCAGCAATAGTATAAACTCCTGTTTCCTCATCAAAAACTTAGTTGAATGCAAGATCTATTTCACAAAGAGTAATATGGATTACTTTAAAATATCTTTATGTAATGAATATTGATTTTTTTTTTTTTTTTTTTTTTAGGCTCGAGAACAAGTCAAATAGTAATGATTCTAATTACATTTAAAAATTTTATTAAACCCTTTTTAAAATTCACAAAATAGACATTAAATACGCTTAAAAAAATGGACAAAGAAAGGACAAATGCTTTGTCATCATTAATATTATGATAATTAAGAAATAAAAGAGATGATTGGTAACGCCTTACCTTTCATTATCTTATTTATATAAATGTATGATCATCACTTCTAAGTAAAATTTTATATGATCATATAAAATTCATCAATCAACATCTTTTCAGATTAACATCATTTCATTTTTTTTAAGACTTCACTAAATTGACTTATTATTAATATATGTATATATATGAATGGTAGGGGCGCCATTATTTGTTTACGGATTAATTCGGCTCTGCGTTGAATCCCCTTTATTTATATATTGGTAGCTTCGAACCCACTCCAGAACTACCCATTTAATCTTTCTCTTTCATTCATCAAAACCTTTAATTCTTTATTAATTACAAACCCTTTTCTGGGTTTGCTCGCCTCAGTTCATGTGTTCATCCATGGAGCTTTAAGAATATAAGAACACTCTGTTCTGTATATAATATCAACAATCTGCTTCTTTTACACTACAAGAACGGTATGATTCTTGCTGCTTTCGTAATGGGTTTTCTTCGTTTCATTTCATTGTCCGTCGTTCTTGAATTTAAGAACACTATGTTCTTCGCTCTGACTCTGTTCTTCGCTGCTCTGTTTTTTACTTTCTTTTTTCATTGACCCATTCATAGATTAAACTTGATCATGGAAAAGACAGCTGGGTTCTCTTTTTGTGGGTTTATGAGATGGATTTTCCAGCCACGATGCAAGTGGTTTAAGAAATCCTCTGTTCATTCATTACCCACAAATACCTCTGAAAATTGCTCTGTTTCTGATGATGCCAAGACGCCATTGGAACAAGATCGAAGAACCCACCAAAAACCCACTTTGGATCAACCAAGACCTTCGATTTCTCACCAGAAGAATCAAAGTCGGAGGCCTTCCGATGCTGCAAGAATCTCGTTAAGTAATGGGTCAGTTTTGGGTAATTTGAAGCCAATTGGATCGACAAACAACAGTCCAAGGAATCGACAAGAGATGAATTCAAGTCCAAAACTTAGAGGAAATGGCAACATGGGGAACATTATGAGGGGAAATTCATGTGCATTTCGACATGTTCAAGGCGTTAGATTAAAGCCGGATGAGTTGAAATCCATGGGAAATGAAGCTTACAAACAGGGGAAATTCGAAGAAGCATTAGCTTTGTATGACAGAGCAATAGCTTTAGATTCAGAGAATCCTGTTTATTATAGCAACAAAGGAGCTTCTTTGATTGCCTTGCACCGTTTCATGGAAGCCATTGAAGAATGCAAGAAGGCATTAAGGATTCAGCCATCATATCAAAGAGCCCATCATCGTTTAGCCACTACCTATCTCAGGTAACACAACAAATATCCATTTTCTCTTATGGGTTCAAAACTTTATGCCATTTTGATTGCAGAATTGGGGAGCCTGAGAAAGCATTGGCTCACTTGGAACAATCAGGCCCTTACAGTGACATAAACGACATGAACAGAGCCTGTGTTCTTCAGAGCTGTTTGAGTAAGTGTATTGAAGCAAGGAAGCTACAAGAATGGGACACTCTGTTAAAAGAGACCAAATGGGCAATTTCCTCTGTTTCAGATTCAGCTTATAAGCTCTACGCTTTGCAAGCTGAGGCCTTGTTGAAGCTCCATAGATATCAAGAGGCTTATGCCATTTACCAAAAGGGTCAAACCCTCGAACCAAATTTGCTAACCAAGTCATTTAGTGTAGCTGATAGTGCACTTATTTTATCCATTGAGGCACAAGTTTACACGACAATGGGCAGGTTAGAAGGTCAAATTTGATGTTGAAATTAAGAACAGGACTTCATTTCATTGAAGGTTATGTTGATATCTCACAGGTTTGAGGAAGCTATGGCAGCAGCAGAACGATCAACAAGGCTTGATCCAACTAATATGGAAGCAAACAGAGTTGCAAAATGGGCTAAACTTGTTTCATCAGCTAGATTGAGAGGCAATCTTCTCTTCAAGGAATCAAGATTTCCAGAAGCCTGTACTGCATACAGTGAAGGATTAGAACACGACCCGTATAACTCGATTTTGCTATGCAACCGAGCAGCATGTCGATTGAAGCTGGGGCGGTACGAGAAAGCTGTTGAAGATTGCACTGCAGCTCTTATGACACAGCCATGCTACAGCAAAGCCAGACACCGCAGAGCTGATTGCAATGCAAAAGTAAGTAAAATTCTAAACCTTAAAAGAACAGAGCTTTAAGGTTGTTTGTTAAGATTTAGCTTAATTTTGAGACAAGATGGAGAGATGGGAGGCTTCAATTCAAGATTACGAGGTGTTGATAAGAGAGAGACCAGGAAATGAGGAAGTGGGGAGGGCTCTGTTTGAGGCGCAGCTCCAACTCAGGAAGCAACATGGGGAGGACATCAAAGACTTGAAATTTGGGTGTAATTTGGTGTGTATTTCAAGTTATGAGCGTTTTAGGCACTTTGTTACCTCTCCTGGTGAGTAACACAATACGAAGAGGAGTGATTTTTGTTGCTATGAATTGTGTACATTTCTAAGCAGTGGGTTGTGTTAGCAGGGATGTCGGTGGTTCTGTTTTGCAACAAAAGCTACCAGAAAGAGGGGCTTGAAGTGTTTGAGTCGGTTTACGAGCGGTTTCCGTGGCTAAACTTCCTAAAGGTGGATCAAAATGGTAGTTTTTGTTGAAACTTTTGGCTAAATTTTTGAGGTTAGAAGGCTAAAATGATGGATAATTGGGACATCAGGTGGAGGTAGAAGACCATCCTTATTTGGTGAAGTTGGAGGAGGTGAGGTCCATTCCAGCTTTCAAGATATACAGAAATGGGAGAATAGTGAAGGAGATTCCAGGCTCTAAACCCCATTCATTAGAGAGTTTAGTGAAGTTGTACAGCAGTTGAATTTGGAGCACAAGCTTAGAGAAACAGAGAAAAACAGAGGAAAACAGAGAAAAACAGAGCATGTTTGGGTTGGCTTGTCCATTGGGCTTTTTAGACAACCTAGGTAGCTTCACAATGCTCATGGCCTTTTGTGCTTATGTACATATGAATTTGTTGTAACGATCCCTTACCGATGCATTTTTATATAATTTTTTTGTATTTTTATAATAATAAAAATATAGGTCTCCGCAAAGTCGTAAGGCTATGTATGAAGGCTGACACCTGTCCAATGTTGGAATGTCAAGAAAGTTAGTGACCTAATGACAGGGGATCCGGCCACTGAAGCTCCAGTGAATGGTGGCTGCAACTAATAACAGTTCTAAGGTAGTGAAATTCCTTTTTGGGCAAGTTTTGACCCGCACGAAAGGCACACTTGATCGTAAAATATCGATTGTCGTTGTTAATCCTATCTTTTTTATTCTTGTACCTTGATGCCACAATCAAAATGCTCTAATACCAATTATTGTATCCCGAATGCTACTATACCAATTGTTGTAATGGAAGCAGAAACAAGATGGATTATACTCACACACCTACAAACAGAAATTAAACAAAAAGACACAAAATTTATGTGGTTTGGAGGGAAGAAATTTCCTTACATCCATAGGTAGTAGCCAATCACTATAACCAGAGTGTTTACAAGTGTATCTCGTTACAAAGTTTCTCTCAATTACTTCTAGGCAAATACAAAATGACAATAACTCTACACCGATGCTCGTTCATGATTTGGGAGATGAACCAAATAAATTAATAAATTTATGAATCGAAGTGGAGAATGTACCCAAAGTATTCACGAAATCTTCGTAAAAATTCTCCATAGAATTATGCTCGAGTTATTATGTAGTTTGTGAATATATATATATATATATATATATATATATTTTATAATTAGGATAAAGATGGTCAAAATAGAATAATATATGGTATAGTTGCAAAAGTAGAGTGATGTTTTTGCATCTTAAGCGATTAATTTGCTCTTTCTTTGGAATAAGTTCGAATCTTAGAATTACTCTTACATCTCATCTCATCTCATCTCACGTTAACTTTGAGAGAAGCAAGCACGAGATTGACAAGTTGAGCACGAGACTCTCTATATAGATAATTAACTAATATGAGACGGCTTCATTCAATAATTCTTAACATTATCGAAATGAAAAAAAAAACAAAAAAAAAACAAATTTATTGTAATAGTTGTAATATTAGCAATTAAGGAAAGAAAATAATTTAATTTCTAATTTAAGCCCACAAAATTTCCCATAAAAACAAAAATTTTAAATTTAAAAAATTACAAAAGTTAATTTATAAGTATTTTTAACCCATTTGGTCAAAAAGCTTTGGTAAAAGTTAATTTTGGATTTGAAATGGTCGCACACACAGAGAGAGTCACATAGGGTAGAAGGACGAAAAACCGACCAAGTACAACACAATCCGACGTGTCCATTAGTGGGCCCTCGCCAAGAAATACATTTACTTTTTTCTCCTTCAATTATATATATATATATATATATATATATTGACGTTTGCCAAAAATGAGATGAAAAAAAATCCCAGAAGCATGCATGCGTGGCTAGAATCTCAAGAACAGTTTCAGTGTCATCCTTAAAATAGCCAAATTTGTGGGTTCATTGCATCTACCCATTAATTTCTCTATTTTGTTTGCCTCTCTCACTCTCTCTCTCTCTCTATATATATAAACAAAATAAATAAAATTAATCTCTGGAGTAATTTTTTTGTTAGAATAAAAAAAAAAAAAAAAAAAAAACCAGTGACAGAACAAGGATCTGTCAGAGATCAAACCAGAAACATTCTGGAACTTCAAGAGTGTTGAAGAAGAAGAAGACAGGTGAGTCACATGAATCCTTTTTTTTCCTTTTCAGCTACATTGTAAGGGATGATCGTACTTTTTTATATTCCTTTGTTGTGTTTTATGATCGTTGTTCTTCGGTCAAGTCTTGTTCGATAACTATTTGATTGATCGGGAATGAGATGTTTTTTTTTTTAAGGTTCATTGTGGGCCTTTGATGTCAGTGTCGAATAAAATAGTGGGTTATATCTCAATCAAAACTGACATGATCATGGTGGAGTCTTTCAATCCTACCAAACTCTTTAAGGCTCTCTGTGTTCATCACAAAAAAAAAAAAAAACATAAGGGATAAAACAACCAAACATGTCGAAGAATTTTAAGGTTGTTACAATTTGTTAACTTTAAGGAATTCAGGTGATTATTTGAGAGTTAAAATGAGTTCAGCTGAAGAGAAGTTTGAAACAAAGGAGGGAACTCCATCTTCAGAGGATGAGAGATACATTCACAAAGTTTCAGTTCCACCAAAGCAGAAACTGTTCCAAGAAATCAAATCTGGAGTGAAGGAAACATTCTTCCCTGATGATCCTCTCCGTTCATTCAAGGATCAAACGAATCGCCGCAAATTTATCCTCGGAATCCGGGCCGTTTTCCCTATTCTTGAATGGGGAAGAGATTACAATATCTCCAAGTTTAGAGGAGATGTCATTGCTGGACTCACCATTGCCAGTCTCTGCATTCCTCAGGTAACAGTTTTGATGAAGGAAGATACTAAAATGGCATGGTTTTAAGCATTAGGCTGCTTGCTAATCACTAGTTCTTGCAACATCAGGATATTGGGTATGCAAAGCTTGCAAATTTGCCTCCAGAGTATGGATTATGTGAGTGTTTATGCTGTTTATCAACACTCTGTTAAGGATTGTTCTTGTGAGACTAATCCCATCTGCCAAAATCTTGCAGATTCAAGTTTTGTTCCACCATTAATCTATGCACTTATGGGTAGCTCAAGAGATATAGCCATTGGTCCAGTGGCTGTTGTTTCTCTCTTGTTGGGGGCAATGCTTCAAACCGAAATCGATTCGGCTACGAACGCAGAAGAATACAGACGGCTGGTTTTTACAGCTACATTCTTTGCAGGGATCACACAAACCACCCTTGGAGTTCTAAGGTGATATTGAATGTTTATGTTCCTATGAAATATCATATCCATGTTCATAAGTTCCAGTTTATTGAGTGTAAAATTTGAACTCTGGGATCAGGTTGGGATTCCTAATTGACTTCTTGTCCCATGCTGCTATTGTTGGCTTCATGGGGGGAGCTGCCATCACCATTGCTCTCCAACAGCTCAAGGGATTTCTTGGCATAAAGAATTTCACAAAGAAAACCGATATTATCTCGGTTATGCAGTCGGTATTCGGCACGATGCAACACGGAGTGAGTTCCCCGAAAATTTATCGGCTTCTGCTAATTCGAATACTGTTCCTACTGATACTTTGTATACTTTATGACAGTGGAACTGGCAGACAATAGTGATTGCTGCAACCTTCTTATGCTTTCTTCTATTAGCAAAATTCATTGTAAAGTCCCGTACTTCATCATTAGTAAAGAACTCATCCATTTTTCTACTGCTCCTTTTCTTATGATTGTTGTTAATGTTATGGAGCACAGGGGAAGAGGAACAAGAAGCTGTTCTGGGTGCCTGCTATTGCTCCACTCATATCTGTTGTTCTGTCTACCCTTTTGGTTTACCTTACTCGTGCTGATAAGCAAGGGGTTGCAATTGTAAGCATTTGGATTACTATTGTATTACCATCACAGGTGTTCTTCTACCTCCAAGATCGACTGTTTTACTTCCCTTTTCTCATAACTTGTTAGGTGAAACACATAAAGAAAGGGATCAATCCCCCATCTGTGAAAGACTTGTATTTCTCAGATCAACACCTTCTAAAAGGGCTTAAGATCGGTGCCGTGGCGGGTATGGTAGCATTGACGGTGAGCATACTCTAAAACTACTCTACTATTGGAAGAAAGTTGAGCTTGTTAGGAACCAACGACTCTCCTCGATGGTATGATGTTGTCCACTTTGAGCACAAGCTCTCATGGCTTTGCTTTTGGGCTTCCCCAAAAGGCCTCGTACCAATGGAGATGTATCTCTTACTTATAGACTCACGATCATTCCCTAAATTAGCCAACATGGGACTCCCTCCCAACAATTCTCAACAATCCACCCTTCGAACAAAGTATGCTATAGAGTCTTCCCTGAGGCCTATGGAGCCTTCGAACAACCTCTCCTTAATCGAGGCTCGAATCCTTCTCTGGAGTCCTCGAACACAGTACACCCTTTGTTCGACACTTGAGTCACTTTTGACTCGACTTCGAGGCTCACAACTTCTTTATTCGACATTTGAGGATTCTATGACATGACTAAATTAAGGACATAGCTCTGATACCATGTTAGGAATCACAACTCTCCATAATGGTATGATATTGTTCACTTTGAGCACATAATGGTATGATATTGTTCACTTTGAGCACAAGCTCACCTAGATTTGCTTTTGGGTTTTCCCAAAAGATCTCATACCAATGGAGATGTATTTTTTTACTTATAAACCCTTGATCATTCCCTAAATTAGCCAATGTGAGACTCCCTCCCAACAATCCTCAACATAGCTGTCACTTTTTGTGTTCATGTTTTGAATCTCTTGTTTGGATGTTTAGGAAGCCGTAGCGATCGGAAGAACGTTCGCTGCAATGAAAGACTATCAAATTGATGGGAACAAGGAAATGGTAGCAATGGGAGTCATGAATGTTGTTGGTTCAATGACTTCCTGCTATGTAGCAACAGGTGAGAAAGAAAGAAAGAAAGAAAGAAAGAAAAGACAATGTATTAGAACAAGAACCTCATTGTCAAATGATTGTGTCCATATCATTGGCTGCAGGTTCATTCTCTCGATCAGCCGTAAACTACATGGCTGGCTGCCAAACTGCAGTATCCAACATTGTGATGTCCCTTGTAGTAGTCCTAACTCTGGCATTCATCACTCCACTTTTCAAATATACTCCAAACGCTATCCTATCTGCTATCATTATAAATGCTGTGATCAACCTGGTTGACTTGCATGCAGCGAAGTTGATATGGAAGATTGATAAATTTGATTTTGTTGCTTGTATGGGAGCCTTCCTCGGTGTCATCTTTTTCTCTGTAGAGATGGGCCTTCTAATTGCGGTAACTGATACTCATTCTTAAACTGCTGAATGTGAAGAGAGATCTTCCTAGTTATTTGGTTGTTCTTTTCCCTTTTGTAGGTATCCATTTCCTTCGCCAAAATCCTTCTACAAGTTACCAGACCACGGACTGCACTTCTTGGAAAGATCCCAAGGACAACCGTTTATAGAAACATACATCAATATCCCGAAGCAACCAAAGTTCCTGGCGTTTTGATTGTGAGAGTTGATTCAGCCATTTACTTTTCCAACTCAAATTACATCAAGGAAAGGTATAGATAGATGATGGTCACCCCATGCAGCCTAACATTGTCTTTGATGTTCCTATATTTGAAATTTAAGAGACGTGGTGTACGATTCCACGTTGGTTGGAGAGGGGAACAAAACATTCTTTATAAGGGTGTAGAAATCTCTTCCTAGTACGCGTTTTAAAAACCTTGAGGGGAAACTCGAAAGGGAAACCCCAAAGAGGACAATATGTGCGAGTGATTGGCTTGAATTGTTACAAATGGTATAGGAGCCAGATGCTGACCGGTGTGCTAGGGAGGATGTTGGGCCTCCAAGGGGGGTGGATTGTGAGATCCCACATCGGTTGGAGAGGCGAATGAAACATTTCTTATGAAGGTGTGGAAATCTCTTCCTAGCAGATGCATTTTAAAAATTTTGCGAGGAAACCCAAAAGGAAAAGCCCAAAGAGGACAATATCTCCTAGCAGTAGGCTTGGGCTATTACAAACGGTATCACAGCCCGACATCGGAAGGTGTGTCAGTGAGAACACTAGGCCCCCAAGGGAGGTGGATTGTGAGATCTCACATCGATTGAAGAGGGGAACGAAACATTTCTTATAAAGGTGTGGAAACCTCTTCCTAGCAAACACGTTTTAAAAACCTTGAGGGGAAACCTGAAAGGGAGAGCCCAAAGAGAACAATATCTACTAGCGGTGGGTTTGGGCTGTTACAAATGGTATCAGAGCTAGACACCGGGCGGTGTGCCAGCGAAGACGTTGGGCCTCAAGGGGGGTGGATTGTGAGATCTCATATCGATTGGAGGAGAACGAAGCATTCCTTATAAGGGTGTGAAAACCTCTTCCTAGCAGACGCATTTTAACACAATGGTAAGCTTGTTGAAGCTCACGTTCAACTTATTTACAGGATATTGAGATGGCTGGTTGACGAGGAAGAATTAACAAAAGAGTCCTACCAGAACAAAATCCAGTTTCTAATAGTTGAAATGTCACGTAAGTATCAGTTTCAAACCCATTTTGAATCCAAATTACACAGTGGAGAAAGCACTCAAGACACTTTTGGGCCAACTAAACTAACAATGATGTCTATGTTTCATGCTGAAGCTGTAACTGACATAGACACAAGTGGCATACATGCTTTGGAAGAACTAAATGGGAGTCTCAAGAAACGAGAAATACAGGTAAAAACAGCATAACTAGTCTCAAATGCAGCCAATTCAGATCATTTTAACAAACAACAGTAAAAAAAGATATGAATGAACTTAGTGTCTCCTAACCTGAAGTTATGTTCATCAATGGAAACAGCTGATTCTAGCCAATCCAGGGCCCGTGGTGATCCACAAGCTTCACGCATCAGAGTTTGCAGATTTGATAGGACAAGACCATATATTTCTCACAGTAGCAGATGCAGTATCATCGTGTAGTCCTAAGATAATGAACGACGTTTGACAGAGAAAAACAACAAAAGTTAGGGATTTGTTTGTTTAGTACAAGACAAGATAAGAGGCACTCACCAAGCTGGGGCATATAGCTCAACCCACACAGTGTTCATCAGTAGTGGGATGGATTATGGGAGTGAAAGGGAAAGGAAATAGTGTAAAATGGGAAAGTGGCATTGTATCATGTTCTTAAATCAAAAAAGAAAGAACAAATCAGAGATAAAAATTGAATTTATCTTGTTCTTTCCACAGAAATATATAACAGCAAATATAAAATGGAATTCACAGAACACATCAAAGAGTGTTTGAACTTGTTTTTTCTTGGATTTGACCTACAAAAGTTCATCAAATTTCTTGAAGGAAGCAACACAGGGCAGAGGCAACCAATAGGGGCTGCTTGGAAATTTTAATGAATACCCACTTGCTCATAAGTGATGATTAAGAAATGGAATGCAAAAAAAGCGCAACAGAGTAAGGATTGGGGATTGAATTCAAAGGAGAAATGATGGGCTGTGAAGTGGGGAATGGAAAAAGGGGTTGAAAAATGGATGAGGGGAATCGAGGGGCTCCCCAACCCCACGCACACCCACACGAACAATGGTGCGCTGCGTGAAGCTGAGCGTCGGTGGAGAGCATCAAAGCACAGTTTCGAGATGATTGTCCCATCCAGAATATGATCAAGATAGCTTTAAAAAAATATTAATGAATTTAAAAAATAATAATTTCATGGAATTTCTAATATTAAAATTTAACAACTTGGTGACCAAATAAATTTTGTATTTAAATATGTTACATCAATATGAATTAGCAAGTTGAATAGAAAGAAATAAAATATTATCTCGATCATAATAATAAGTCAAATTTTATTTATTAAAAAATCATTTTAAATCGTACTTTAAAGACTTTTTTTAAAATTTACACCATTTTAAATTATTAGTTATTTAAAATATATTGGCTAAATTAATTTATTTTTAAATAGAATCGATTGTGAGATCTCACATCGATTAGAGAGGTGAACGAGTTCTAATGAGGACGTTGGGCCCCGAAGGTGAGTGGATTGTGAGATCCCACGTCAATTGGAGAGAGGAACGAAGCATTCTTTAAAGGGTGTGGAAACTTCTCTCTACGAGTTTTAAAAACCTTGAAATAAAACCCACAGAGAACAATATCTACTGACTGTGACTGCTACTAGGTGTTAATTGATACCCTTACAAACTAATGAATGTAAACAAAGATCACGTTCTTCCACTAAAATCAGTTGGAAGGCCCATATGCATAATCTATGCAGAGTAGGCACTCTATTGAGCAATATTTGTTGTCCGTCCATAACTTCTAGAAGTATTTTCCATACAACAGGTACTTTGAATTAAAAGAAAATTGTTGTTGAATTGAACAACCAATTAAAAATGTTTGAAATAGTTCGGTCTTTACTTAACTAATGAAGATAAAGAAAAGGAAACCTCAGCGACCAAACACTTCTACCCCTATAAGCAGAGACCGAGAGCTAATAGACTACATTCAATTGAGTTTTCGGGGTAGACTTGGGGAGGAACACTTTACTTTAAGGCATGAATACAGTTTTTATCAAAGAATTCCCGAAGCCGGCGTATGAGGTCGTCCACTCATAAGTCCAAAGATATCAAAGGAGAGATTCACCATCGAAATCATTAGCAAAAGAAAAACGAATATTGTGGTGAATATTCAACATTTTAAAAGGATTCTTTTTCTGCAACGGACAAAACGAAGCTGATTTGACTCGACAACCTAACAATGCATCAATACCAATGATACGTGCGTCGGTAAAGACATCTACCGTGCTAGCTTTATCTTTTGTAAGTATATATATATATAATTAATTAATAAACTACGATATGGAAAATAATAATTAAGGTATAAATTAAAAAAATAAAAAATTACTTTTGAAGTGAATATCGGAATTTAGATGGGCTTTTGTTACGGGAATGGGCCCCGATCCGTGCCATGCTGACAAGCCCTCAGATGCGGGCTCTGCAATCAACCCATTGAAATGAAGAACATAAAGAAGTGTATCTGTAAGTAATGGAGATGGGTTTTCATTGAATGATTGTTCGCAGTGAAGATGGATGTATTCAAGAATCGAGGGATGAATTTGTGGGGATTTTGCTTAGAATATGATAGATTAACAGATACAACACTTGGGTATAGAAAAAGATAAATCCATGGATGAACTATGATGCAGCCACCGTTTCTCCCTTGCCGGAGATTTGTGGAGGAACAACGGCGGCCGATGAAGATACCACCGCCGCCTTGGCTGCCGCTTTCTTTGATGCTAAACTGCACTTCTCCCTTCTCTCATCTTGCTTCATTTGCTGTTGCCGACATTCGTCGCTACAGAATCCCCTGTCTCCCCTGAAAACAGAGTCGCTTTCTGTTTCATTCCAAGAAAACAGGGATTGTTGAATTTAATTGGATTGGATTGGATTGGACTTACCTGTACATGTAAATATCACGACCAGGAACAAGAGGGCGTGAGCAAAGAGAACAATCTCTGAGGAAATTGGCGTTGTCTTGTAGATCAATCGAATGCCTTCTGTGATTTCTTGGCGACATCAGCTGTTGGGAGCTGGGTTTTGTCGGAGGAGCAGGCGACGGCGGTAATCGGTCGTGGATGGAGCCTCCGCCGCCCAGATCGAAGGTGATGTCGGTCATGCTGGTGGTTTTTTTGATCGGAGCAGGTGAGGTGTTGCCGAGAGACATGGTTTGAAATTTGTAAAAGCAGAAGGGGAAAAAGCGGTTGTGGTTTGAGGAGGAAGAAGAAGTGAAGCAGTGGAGAAGAAGATGATAAAAGAGGGCCAGCAAATGGGGAACGAATCTGGACCGTTCATTACAATTGATAATGACTCCTCTGCGTAATTAAAAATAAGGAATCCACGTCAGCCTCTCATTTTCACCCATCAAGTTATTTGTAATTTTGCTTCTAACTCATTTAATGATTTTTTTTTTATTTTTTATTATTGAGCGGTTGTACTTAAAAATAATAGGTGTTCCATATTACGGTCGCACTTCTTCAATCGTGCGGCATCATGATCTCAACACGCTTATAGCAAATTTTAAAGAGAACTCAAACCCCATTCACATTTTTTCCTAATTTTGCGGCTTTGTCGGACCTTTGGTGAGGTTTGCGTTCGTCAACCGAACACAATTTATGCAAAATTCAAGCTTGTTCGACCATACACATCACTCGTGAATGCATGTTGCATCATCTGCGACTTTAGTTAACTTACTTCGGCTAAGTCATTTGGTTTGACCTTGCCTCTACTCTATACCAATGTCTCTCATAAGCAACAGCGCATCTCATCATCATTTCGGTTCCCAACAACACGACTCATGTGGCTTGCTCGGACACATCCGTTTAAAATTAATACATGTGTCGACCAAAGTGCCAGAACATCTCGAACATCCATCCGTCAGAAATCTCATCGAGCAATGGACTCTCTTGTGTCCATGCTAAACCATTTACGACATCCATTATGAAAAAGTGAGTGCATAATCCAACCTGGGTCCTGGAAAGACCATTTTTCAGAGGAAGACACTCGTCATGTTGTGACACACATACGTGCCATAGGGTAGTTCGCTTAGGCCCAGAGCCTAGAGGTAGTAGAGAGTTGACACTAGTGTAATAATAGTAGCCCCATGAGCGGTAAGTTTTTGATTTAGACGAATGAAATTAACAGAGTTATGTTCGTAGTCTAACTTTGCATATTAAGTGAATAATAAAACTTTAATCCATGGTTAGTGTAATGTTAATGAAATGAGGGAGGGGAATATAAGGTCCAATAAATTAGTGGTCCATTTATATACTTAAAACAATTGGAAGCGCACACACGTGAAAACAGCTCACTTGAAGATGAGAATTTAGATTCCAATTATTATCATTATTATTATTGTTTTTTTCTGCATAGTTGTGAAAATAAAATGAAGTAAAGTTGTTTGCTTTGGAACTAAGAATCATTAAACACAGATTAAACTAATTATGAATCTCATTTAATTAACCCTATTTTAATTCATTTTAAAAAATGGATCATCATGTGGGGTGGATTAACTTCTACATATTTTCTTCTCCCACTCCCACAATATTTTATAATCAAACACTGCATCGATGGTTCAATCTCTAGCTCCGTAGTTGAACTAAAATAGTTGTTTTCATTTTTTTTCAAAATAACTCAATTAATTAAAATATATACACGTAAATGAGAGATCATAGGAGAGAACAATAAATGGGAGCTAAACCTTGAGCTGAAAATTTTGGTGGGGAATGGGTTGATAGCTGAGGAGCAGTCACTGTGGTTGGGCAAGATAGATGAGTCAACTGGATTCAACCTTTTTCATTTGTTGTAAAAAGAAAGGTCTTTTGGAAGGATGCCTTAAACAGGACCAACATGTTTTGATTATTATAAGGTGGCCTTCATGTCATTGTCACACTCACACAGCTAATAATGGACAAATTTCTTAGCCAACATTCATGAACAACAACGTCTGTTCTTTCTAATCATGTCCACAACAAATCAGACCATAAGAGCTTGTTACTTCAAAGATATACAAACACATACCTTGCCTCAGCTGCCATCAGCTTCTCTAGTTATATGAACATCATCGAGTTTGAGGTTTTAGAGTCGACGAATAGGGCGCAGCAACGACTGGTAGGATCTACTCCAGACCAGAAACAGCGCATCCGCTTATCGTCTTCTTTCATCGTCTCGCCATATTTGGTTATGTTGAAACTAACATTATTGTTTCCACCAAATGCAGACTCCAGCTGATCCATATTGAAAAGAGACTCTATTATCCTCTTCGAGTTTACGTCGTCGGAGTAAACGAATTTCACTTTGTTGGCAGTTTTCGTCTCCAGGAAAGGCTTTGCAACCTTTAAATTAAAACAGTACAAACGTCAAATAATTGTAGTAAGTAAAACAGAAATGGCAGTGTACTACTACTAGGACTCCTATGGGCCACAGATCCCTGGAAGATATACAGTAAATTCAGATATTTGAATGAAAGCAGTGAGTTCTTCAAATGAATTATACCATCCAGAAGGGTTCGAAAAACTTAGGCGCGTTGTATAGAATTGCAACTCCGAGGCGTTCGGGATAATGTTCCTGTAAAACATGTGCAGTCTCTTTTGTTGCTTTCAATGAAATATTTGACATATCAAAATCCTTGAAATCAATCAGCCAAATCATACTCTCCTGGTCTGGCGACAGGTTCAGGATAGCATTCTCCATGCAATACACCAAATACCTAATCTGTCCTTTTACAGTCTTCGAGTTCTGTGGTCGAGAAAGTACGAGGTCATTAAACTTAAACCAAATCTATAGGAAGTCAAGTTTACTTGTGCAGCATTAGAGACTCCATCTAATCTTAATAAGAGTTATTGTGGCAGACAATCTCAGAACACCTTTTTTCTTCCCTGATTCTTTCTAAAATAACTACAAGAAACACAAACTTCAAAATAAAGAAAATGTTCAGTAGACCTCTGTTAGGCCTGCATAATGCAAATGGAACCTGGCAACACGGTCTCATGACTATAACTGTTCTTCCGTGTCGGTCATTATAGTTAGCACAATAAAGTTTCCCTGTCTCAGCTTCATGAGCAACCTCATCCTGCAAGAGATATCTAACTATTTAATGGATGAAATGCCATGGCTTGAGCGTTGAAATAAAAAACTTGGTTCAAAAATACTTGACTAAGAGTAAGAAGTGAAGTACCCATTGAATTTCTTCCGGCTTGTATTCTGACCTCCACTTCAAACTTGCTTTCAGCATCTTAGTTGCCTTCTTCACATTCCAGTTTCTTGCCCTTAAGTATCTTGAAATGGTTGGATCAGAACAGTAAATCGACGATTTACAAGACAACGGCCCTAAAAGCCTCCGCACCTCAGAAATCTGTAAACGATGAACTAGAACTACAAGAGTTAGCAACTTTCCATAAAGAATTGGCAGCATTTCAACTATCTTAGTTTCTAGATTCAGCAGTCAAAGGGCTTTAACTGTCAGAAATACCTTCATATGCTGTTCTTCAGTTAATATAGCTTTCTCACAACAAATCGAAGAAGGTACTTCTAAATTCGCATACATGGTGGTTTGAATTATGCACCTGAAGGCCAAAAGGAAAATTACATAGCTTGTAAGCTCCACTGTCAACAGAGTTATCAAAATGTTAGGTAGCACAACTTGAAATACTATCAAGATTATAAATCAAATGGATTCAGAAAAATCCCAACTAATATAACCAAAACGCCTCCCCAGTTCTAATCACTGTGGCAAGGTCATGGCAACCAGAGAATTAAATGCCCTCTTTCTCCTCAAAACGCATCCAACTAGCAAACGTTCAGAGATAGTTATCTGCAACAATACTTATCCTTTCCCCTGATACAGTCATACAGGACTACGATTTCTTGAAACCATCACTAACATACACTATCCTATCATCAACTTCAAGTTATTCCCTACTCCTTTGGATGTTTGACTTAATATTGAAGATAGTGGAGGACATTTTAAACAATTAATCATACAAATCTATACAACCTCATGAACCCAAAAGTATGGTGAATCCAAGACAGAAGGTAAAAAAGTTCAAAAGGAAGAAAAATTACCAAATCGCTGGAACTGAGGCTTCGCAGGAAGGGCGACTCCTCCAAAGCTTAAACCATAAAAAGTAGTTGAAGAGAGAAAGGGTATTATCAGTGAAGAGCGGAGACCAAACAATTTCGAAGAAAACTACTTAAATTCATTCTTAGCTACGAGGAATGAAGGAAGAAATCCTTCAAGGCTCGGACTTGGAGGTACCCTTTGATACCCAGGTTCGATCGTGTTCGAATTGATGTACCCCCTGGCCGTTCGAGTTCGTGGCAGGTACTGTTTGGTTACTTGCTCAGTCCATGTGCTTGGCAAGTCGAACTCTTCAGATTTAGACCGATTCGCTTCCTTTCTTTTCAAAATTCAGTGCATTTTTTTAGCACAAAATTGCGATCGTAATCAAATGTCCCGAGATAATATTTGTAATATCATTGATAATATTTGTATGAATCTTTTGATTCGAGTGCTCCATTGAAATGTTAAATACTCTAGAATCACTGACGCCCCTACTAAGAGAGTTGACAAAAATTTAGATATCTATTTTATTATATTTTCAAAAAAATATCATTGTTCTACTAAATAAAATCATAAACTGAATTTAGTCTTTTCAATTAAAAATTGTTCATGCATCAACTTGGTTTGTCTAAATCGATACCTAGGTGAAAAGTTAGAGGTCAGAGAAAAAAAAATGGTTAGATATAGAAACATAAATTAGAAATTAAATTTCAGTTTAAACAATTATTGAAAATGTAATTGATAACACATCTTATTAATCACCAAATAGTTGTGTAGTCAATCTCAATAGAGGCTCCTAACTTAGTGTGTGTGTGTGTGTGTGTGTGTGTGGGTGGGGAGGGGGCATGTGAAAGAAAGGTTCTCCCCACCACTACTACTTTCTATTATCGCTCTATTATCGCTATCTTTCTATTTGAAGTAAAGAGATTCCCTTTCTTTATATTTGAAGTAAAGAAAGGTGCTCCCCAACAGTTTCATACACTTTACTTACTTACCCAATGCAAGCTTCCAAGAAAGAAGAAAACACAGCCCATGTCATACCATTAACCTCAGTCCTCTCCCATGTGCCATGTTGTTTTTCCTGTTCAACAACTGCACAATTTCATAACTCATACAAATATTAATATGTAATGAAGAATTTAGGAATTGGGTCGAAAATGAGGGAACTGCAACAAAAGAATCGCTATAATTTCAAATGAAGGCGGGGTTTATGTACGACCCAACTTGGCATTTAACGCCATTCAAAATTTTGATGCCTTGCAACACAACCTGTGCTCTCCCCCATTAGTTTCTGTACAATTGTTTCCTATTCCCTGCTGCTGTAGCCCCCCATATAACTTTAGCTCCCCTGAATCATTTTCTAACTACACAAGGGCTGAGAAAAGTGTTCCCTCTAAAAAGGCCGAGAAAACACAATATTGCAACCCTTCAGCTTCTTACTTGTGTCATCTTTACGCACTTATTTGTCCAAAACAATGTTCATTGACCATCTTACATATGAATTTACCTCGGCCAGCTCCCGAGTCGATCTCCACCTCCACGAGGGTTCAATCATCAAAGACCAATAGCGTGTCATGGCCATTTGAGGACAGTATTTTGACTGACCACAGGCACCCAATTCAATTCCCATTACAGCCTGTGGCTCTCTAGTTCTCGTGATAGAACGAACACATCCAGATGCCATCATTTGATTCCTAAACATGCATACACAAATACTATGAAAAAAGAAGGATCTAAGTCGCCAAACGTCATGATAAGCAGTCTCAAAACAGCAGGCTCACCTTTCTCAGTATGCTGGTAACCCAAAAGTATACACTTAAATCAAAGAAACGGATCCCCCCCAGAATAGATGTCTGCAGATGCTGTGTAACTTATTTCCCTATTCTGCATGCTTTTGCACTTCTTATCTTCAATCAAATAGGCTTAGGATTGTCAAGACAATAACATACTCAGACACTGCCAGGGATCAGCATGCAGGATAGGCTTCAAAAGCTGAGCCTCATGCGGATGCACACATAATATTAACCAAAAGGTTTCCTCTGAACCATTGAAACCAATTCAGAGAGCCATTGATTAAACATCTCTCTTCCCAACTGTCCCAGCAGAACTTTGCCTTTTCTGCATACCATATTGCCAAGTGTCTCTCAGTTTGTCACCTGACTGATCAAAATCTTCTGGGGAAGTCTCTACGGCAGCCTTAGAAGACCGGTAATTTCCATTCCTAGTAATTACTGAAGAGTTTGATTTCTCATCATCTTCCGATGGTGTTCCAGACCTTGACTCCACGTGTATATCTAGAGACCTATGTCTTGGAAGAACTGATCTCGGGCCCCTAGTGTTGGAAGAGTTCTTCCCAGGCAAAGTAGATTGAGTGGATCCCTTCTGTCCGAGGAAATCCTTCGGAAGGGATTCCATATCCATGTAACAGTTCCTTGACTTCGCATCAGTGATCAACGCAGCCCAATCATCAGACTGCATCAAAGCATTAGCATTGCCCATTACCTGGTTTAACAAAAGATCATATTAGAATATTCAAATTGTCAGCTATTAGTAAAAGTACCTATGTATGGGTATGAGAGAGACTGCAATAGCTTAAGAGAGAAAAATTGAAGCCTACCCAAAGAGCTCTCCTTGCTCGGGTCAGTGCTACATTCATTCGACGAATATCTGCAACAAAACCAACACCATGGCTGGAGGCACGCACACAAGACATGATAATCACATCTCTTTCTTGACCTTGGAAAGCATCTACAGTATTAATATATAGATCCTTCCCTTCTTCAGAGTTCAGAACCTCCTCAAACTCACGTTGGAGGCACTTCAATTGGAGCTTGTATGGTGTTATTATACCAACTGAAACTTTACCCAAGACTAACGACTTCACGGTTTTCTGTAGATGTTCATACAAACGAAGACAAAATTGTGCTTCATGAATATTTTGATATGAAACAGATCCCCCTCTATGAGATTCCCGCCCATGCGTAATATCAAAGAAAGTGTAAGGTCTAAGTATAGGGTCTTTATAGTATGTCTCATCAGGTAAATTAGCAACACTTTCACTGTCAGTAAGGCGCCCTTGGTAGAAGTACCTTGAAGGGAAATCACGTATTTGAGGATGCATTCTATACTGCACCGATAACAACATAGTGGGACATCCTGCTTGCTGGAATCTTTCGAAGAGACTTCTACTGTACAACAATGTTCCAGCTGCTTTACTGATAACAGTGGCTGGGAGCTGCTGGGGATCTCCAACAAGCACACACCTTGCTGCCCCAAGAGAAAGCGGTGGAAGAACAGCTACCTCACTGGCTTGGGCTGCCTCATCAATGACTACCATGTCAAAACCATGAGATAGTCGAGAAAACAATTTGCGACCACTGCTTGACACTGTGGTGAAAACTATCTCGGCCTCGTTGGCAAAACTAGCCTCAAGACTAGCTCGTGCATCCTCCATATTGAAATTGCTGTTAGATCGATACCTGCCTTCTAAAATAAGTAGGCGTGACATCTCAACTAAAATTTTATCCCTACCTTCTATTACAGCAGCAAGGTTTTGCAACAATGCATCTCGATTTTGGTCACGAGCCACCAGAACATCAGGGTCCACACCAACAGATCCTTGAGAGCGAACAGCAGCCGCAGCAACATTGAGTTCTCTCTGAAGATTACTGATTTGCTGAGATAATTGAGTTTCGCGAACTTTTAGCTGGTGCATCCATCTTAAGACTTCGTCTCTACTTTTGACCAAAAGTTGTTCTGTTCTACGCTCAACTGAAACTGCTTGGGCTGCACGTGTTTGTGAATCAACACCAACTCGAGCCACATCAGGTCGATAAACCTTCATTTCCCCATCAATAAACCCCCGATCAAGAACACGTGCAAGAAGCTCATCTGTTGCAGCATTTGAAGGTGCACAGACTAACATTCTAGGTTTAGGACACAGTGTGGGAAGAGTGCGGAAAAGATTCTGGTCCATGTTTTGGAGTACCTCATCAATGGATCCAGTAGAGACATGATCTGAGCTGCTCTCATGAGCTTGTTTATAGCTTTCTGGTGCTAGTTTCTTAAGCAAGGAAGTATAGTAATGCTGGTACTGAACCAGATGGATAACATTTAGCATTCCCCAAACTGTATGGGTCTTACCTGTTCCAGGAGGACCTTGGACGAGTGTAAAAGGCCATGGTTCTTGCCTCTTGACTGTCCCGCTGCTTGTACCAGCAGCTGTATGTGTTGCTGCCCATTGGATTGCAGATAGCTGGGGTCCGTTGAAGGTCCTATGCAAATACTCAACAAAATTTTGCGTGAAACACTCAGGCACAGCAGGTGACTGTTGCTCATACTTCGGAAATTGTTCAGGACTAGGCTGAAGGATTGAAGATTGCATCTGATACATATGGTAAACAATTAGATTCGTGATAACAATTTAAAGGGGATATAAGGCGGCTTTTAATCCAAATAAATTCTGACCATTACCTGCATGTTGAGCCGACGAAATGCATGTAGGGCAACATACTCTCGCTGGGTTGTTGCAAGAGAACCGAGCACTGTTAAAAACCAAACATTCTTTGCCTGAAGTTTTCTAACTATATGATCTTCTTCAATCCTGCAATTCAGAAATAGTAATAATATGAAAATCGCCCAACATTATAAGAGTAATTCATATAATTACAAGGTTGGGTGTAAGGAATGCCCTACCCCACAAGAATTTTTTAAGAAAATAAGTTTTATAATAAAAGAAATAAAATAAATAGCTTCCCAAAAATAATATCGCCACTAATTACAAGAAATCCACAGCATCAAATCCATGCATTGAGGAGACAGACAATGACTACTACGAAGCTTAATAATACTTCAAAATATTCCAACAATAACACTTTTTACTAATAGAAATAAAAGTGACACAAGGTATGAGAGATAAAATATGCAATAATCAATTCGATGCAAAACATTTAACTTCCTTTCACAACTATCTTCGTCATAAATCAAACTATAGACAGACTTTCCAAAATAGCATCCTTGAAGAAAAGTTTGTGCAAATCAAACCGTAATTTATCTTCAAATGTTTCTACAACACTAAAAAAATGTCAAGTCCCATGCAAACCTCATTCATATTCAAAACACAATATCCTACTTTTAACCCACTTCATTCCCAAAATAAATACTTTAACTGGGTAAATAAGTTGTGTAAATTAATCTTTCAGTATCTCTTCATAACCCGAACTCAAAAGTACAACCATAAAATCAATAATGAAGCAGTGCTAATATCTTTGCAGCAGTGCTGCATGAGATTATAGAATTTGGAAGATACTTCCAAGTAGAATTCATATGGCACCGCTCAGAACAACATTGAGAAGATACTTGACAAGTACCTTCAAG